ATAGGGATTATGATAACCATCTACCATCCACACTGGATTGTTCTGAGTATGCACCAAAAAGCTAGGTTGGAAAATACTTTTTTAAACTCCAGTCAGTTTGACTTTATGGCCTGTCCCCTTCTCCCTTCTAAAACATTGCCCCTTCAGTTATTCCCTCTTACTCCCATACTACTCATTTCTGCCTTAACCTGTAAATATGCTCATCTTACCAATCTTAAGGAAAAATTAAAACACTTTCTTCAACCATGAAGCTCACCAATGCAGTCCTTTTTCCTTACATGTGCTCAGAATTAAGCTCTACCAAGAGTAGCCTACTCCCTATATCTCCACAGCTTCATTTCTTATTTATTCCTCAAATCCTCATAAGACTTGGACTTGTATCCATACCATCAAGCACCCATCATCCCACTATCCTTTTTTGTTCAAGGCTCCTCCCTGGTATTTTTACTGGTTTCTCATATCCCAACTCCCGCACTGCCCATCACAAGTCATTTAAACACTGATATTCGGTGGGTTCAACTCTTTTCTTGTCTCTCTATACTCTCTTCCTGAGTGATCTCAACCATTCCCTTTATTTTAACCAAGACCTGCACAGTGATGACTAGAAAATGTCTCCCTGATGCAAACCTCACTCTTCAACTGTGGGTCTACATTCAACTACTTACTAAACATCCCCCACATACATCCCCACAGGTATCTCAAGCTTAAAATGTCTGAAACTACTGAAATTACCATCTAAGCAATCATATTCATTCCCTAATTGCCTTGTCTTCCTTTCTTTATTCTCCTTAGTTAATGACAACATTATCCCTCAAGTGAGATTATAGTTCAGTCCAGTCAGCCTGAGAAAGCTGACTGATAAGAATAAAACAACAACAAAAAAACAATAAATTTCAGTCCAATCTGAGCTCCCACTGCGAGCCACTACTGTGCTAGAATGCACGGAAACCAAAACAATTAAGTCATGGCCCGATTACTTAAGGAGATAATTCCACGAGGGAGACAGTTCAATTAATAAAATTATGTACACTGTATTTAATTCTGATAGAAAATGTTACAAATTTTATAACTTGTTCAAGTGCCTATCTCTCAAATGAAACCAAATCTAACTCCCTGAAAACAGAGATTGTGTGTTTCCTTTTAATTCTAAGCACATAATAGGCACTAAGTAACTAATGAGTGAATGGATGATACTAATGAATTAAAAACACAGTTGTACTGCCATAAGATATTGAAGCACGATGTTTTTCTGTACTTGAGAATTGGATTCAACTAAAAAAGTTTGGACATATCACTTCTGCAGTCTCAAAATAATATATATTGTTAAGCAATATTTTAGATTATTTGATTGGCAGTGTTACCCTAATTCTCTTTGAGTCTCTAAATCCTGTAAAATGATTTGAGAATCTCTGTATTGCTACTTCAATTTTTACAGGTATTTTGTATTATCTCCCAAATTAGTTTTATTGACAAATTTAATTAAAATGCTATTCATCATTCCTCTTTCCTCATCAGAGGCAATAAACAAAATCAGACCTAATAATGATCTCAGTATCAACCTCCTAATGTCCATCCACCTCTATGTAACATTTAAATTACACCGTTCATGCAAATCAATTTTTTTCTAAAAAAATTATTATTACAATCTCTCAAACCAAATATTATTATTTCCTGTTTAGAACTAGACAAAAGGAAGATAAAACAAAAACATTACATTTAGACAAGCAAAAGCAACAATTCAATATTCTTGAAAGGCTTATCACAAGGTTACTTTGTAGAACAGGAAGTGTCAAACTATGCACATCAGCTGCCACCCGACATATAGATGTCTCTGACATGGCAATAAAATGAGAAACCATTTGGTTTAATAATAATAAAAAAGCAACATCAGTGGGTACATATTACATGTAGCATCTAGTCCTGGTTGCCTAGCAACCAGTCATGAGTGAACTCCACAGAGAATAAAAGCCCTTAAATGAATGTACAGTTTGTGCAACTTTCAAGGACTCGAAGAGATGTGCCAGTAGTTAATCTAAATTCTAGTTGGCAATTACCATACTCAGATGGAGGAAGGAGAATCCATCATCATCTCTCAGAATCAACTGTGAGATTAACTAGAAGCGAGATTCTACCCTTTAGGTTTTTACCTTTTGAACCAGTGGTTTTCTAGGAAAAAAAAATATGACAGTATGATTTATAAATTATAAAAACTTTATGCAGAAAAAAACAACAAAATTTCATTAATATAATTTGCATTCATTCATTCAACAAAACACGTAATACCTATCATACACCAGATACTGTCTCAGCTACTGAAAACACAAATATGAACATCACTTTACAAGCTTTCAAACATACTATAATGGAGAAATCAAACAGTAAACAAACAATAACAATACCACAAATTCTGTAATACAGAGGAAGGCATGGGATATTATGAAAACATCTATAAAAGACTTCCAATTCAGACTACGGAGGTGAACTAATTAATGGTCAGGGAAAACTTATCAGAAGAGGTAATGCTTGAGGTGAGTCTTAAAAGACAAGCAAAAGTTATTGTAAAAGCAGAGCATGGGGAGAATATATATAGATTTGCGTATTTATATACATCTACAATATACTTTAAATATAAATAAAATATATATTATATATATTTAAAATATTTTAAAATTGTATTAAATACATTTAAAATACCTTAAAATTATATTAAATACATTTAAAATGTTTAAAATTATATATATAGTATATATCTATAAATTTACATAAATAGAAGTGGCAGAAGGAAAAATATTCAGAAGGTCATAGAGGTGAGTGAGCAAAAAGCATGTTGTGTTAAAGGAACTTCATGGCATTTGGTGAAATTAGGATCTCAGTGTTAAAACAGGAGTCCAAAGAGACAGACAGCCCAGGCCTCTTCCAGAAGGACCTCTTATGCCAGGCTAAGAAGTTCTGGCTTACTCCAGAATGAAATTGGAGAGGCAGAGATGGGTCTTAAGCCAAGGAATAATATAAACACATATGGCAATGATGTAAAATATATTAGAAAGGGCAAAGCAAACAGACAAGAGGCTATGATAGCAAGAGATATACTCAAGAGACAAAACTGCCAACAGAGTTGAATGCGGCAGGTGGGCATTAAGCAAGATACTCAAAATCAATTTCTGAGATTCTTAACTCACTGACACAGAGCTCTAGTAAATTTAACAATCATATATAAATGTTGTTATATATGAAAATGTATGCTATTCAGTCCCTGCTGAAATATTAGATTTGATCAACCCTCCCTTCTTCCTAACCCAACAAAACAATTATACAAAGGTTATAAAGCTGTCTGGGAAGGAACAGTTACTGGAGAGCAGGAAGAAAAGGCAAGGAAAGGGGAGAGGGGAGGAAGAAATAAAGGAAAAATAAAGAAAACTAAAAGATACCAGAAAGTAAAATCTATTCACACTTCTGAAAGAGAAGTTTAAAAAGAATTTTTCAAAACCATAAAGGAAAACACTATTGGTGCTTGACTATATAAAACTTGAAAATGTAGGTATGTTGACTAATACAATTTTAGAATTTTAGAAAAAAAGTATGTAACAAATACAACAAAGAGTTACTACCCTTTAAAGTATGTAAGAGCAAATAAGATCAGGAGATGCTATCAATAAGTGAGCAAAGAATACAGGTAGTCAATCCCACCTCAAAATCAGGAAAATGAATTATTATTACCAACAAAATGCACAGGATCACAATAGTATCTCTATGTCTAACCCATTAGCAACTGTTTTGACTGCTCTATCTTGTTCAGAGTATAGTAACATGGCAGTCTTATACAAATATGAGTGTATAGGTAGAATAGGATTTTGAAAAAGAAATATACATACATACTTAAATCTTTAAAATGGTTCACACCCTTTGACAAAGTAATTTCAATTCTGAAAACCTACCCTAAGAAAATGATCTAAAATACAGATAAAGGTTAACATATATCATTGTTTTACAGTTAGAAAAAAAACTGGAAATGGTCTAAAGTTTCCCAAAAGGAGATAAATATGCTACAGTACAGATATACAAGAAAATATAATGTAGTCACTAACAACAATGTTTTTAGAAAGATTTTAATACTAAGGTAAAAAATATTACAATGTTTATAAAAATGGAAAAAATTGTCACATAAACGATAATTTCAACACTAAGTAAAAAACAACAAAAATAACAAAAACATAGAAAGGCAGGGTATGGTGGCTTACCCCTGTAATCCCAGCACCTTGGGAGGCTGAGGCAGGTGGATCACCTGAGGTCAGGAGTTCGAGACCAGTCTGGCCAATATGGCGAAACTCTCTCTCTACTAAAAATACAAAAATTAACCAGGCGAGGTGCCCCGCACCTGTAATCCTAGCTACTCGGGAAGCTGAGGCACAAAAATTGCTTGAACTCAGGAGGCGGAGGTTGCAGTGAGTGGAGATCGCATCACTGCTCTCGAGTCTGGGCAACAGAGCAAGATTCCATCTCAAAAAATAAAAATTAAAAAAATTAAAATTAAAATAAAAACATAGGATAGATATTATTTCTGAGCAGTAATGATAGTTTTTTCCTTTTCCTTTCCTGTATTTTCTAACTTTATTTTTTAAATAATGAGACTATATTATTTTTGTATTTAGAAATGAACTCCATCCATCTCATCTATCCTCAATAAAAGTATGCCTTAACCTTGTACTTACAAAAATAGCTCATTCGAGATCTTTCTGTAAAGTTAGTTATCTCTACTCATTTAACTTAAACTTATCAAGCAGTTCTGCACACTGTTGTTGAATTAAAAGAGCTATCTACAGTGCCCTAAATTCAAGGGTAACAAGTACATGGTATTAAGAACTTCAATTGGAATAATGGAATGAAAGCAAGAAAAAAAAATAAGTTTTTAGTAATCGAAGGGGTTTCACCACTTTAATACACTTTATTCACTTTACTGCACTTGGATTTATACGCATAACAAGGCTGTGCCTTTATATTACCTGAGGTGGTTGAGCAGCGGCTGAAGTCTTTCATCAGACTGCACAGCAGGCAAGGACCTGGCTGTTAACTAAAAGCAGGGAAGAAAATTAGTAAAAACAGCAAAGGCTGAACACTGAACATATTTGAATACTAAATGTAAAACGAGTTGAAAAGCAGATAGGGAGGCAATACTTAAAAACATAAGGTTATATTTCTCTTTTCTCAAATCAAGAAATTATATAAAAACCTGACACATTACGCGATCAAAGTTAGCTACATGGTTCTAAGGACACAGGATATGTCACTAAGTTTAAAAGTAAAGAAAAAGGTGAGCAAAACAGAGAGTAAAAGGGAGTGTCCTGAGTTCATGAAAAAGCATTCACTTATAAGACTATTATCTTTGTAAATAAAAATGTAAAAACTTCTAAATATAAAACTGTATAACAACCAATCTTGTAGCACTGAGTCCTAAGATGATGAAGAAATTGGGAAGAGAAATTCTGATTTATAGCTATGCCACTGTGAAACTGGTTACATATAGAAGTGTATGTACTTCATTCTGCCAGCTGCATGACTATAAGGAACCAAGAATATCTTTTAAGTATACAGAAGCAACTCAAAGTATTTAATATTAAAATATGACCTCAAATTGAGCTAGGAAATAAGAAGTCAGAGCCAATACTGTGTACCAACTTGACAGCATATCAACAAATGTGAATTTCTGATCTATTTTATTACAACAATATTAATTATATATCTATATATCTCTATTTTCTTCTATGTTCTTAAGAGAATGCCTTTTTATAAGAATTTGACACAAGGAAATAAAAGACATCCATTCAAAGTAATCTGACAGTTTGAGGTAAACTTAATAAAACATCAAAACAAAAATAAAAGATAAATCTCTTCAGGATTCAATTATGATCAAAATGGTTCTCATATTTTACTAATCAATCATTTAACAATTCACAAAAAAGAACCTTAAGGCAAGCAACAAACTGAAAGATACCCTTTGGGTTTATATAGTGTATCCTCTTTTTAATTTTTTTAATACATTAATTACAATTTCCTAAAAATGGAAAACAGACATTTAATTCATCAAATCTAATTATATTATGCAAATAAAAATAAAAATATCATCTAAAAATATAACTTTTTTTGAAAAAAAATTGACCAAAGTGCCATATATGAAGTCATTTTTATTAAATAATTTCTAATGATAATGGAGAAGCTTTCCCCAATTTTGTACAAGAGTCAACACGTTGACAAAGTTACTAATTTAAAATACGATAAAGTGAGACAATTAATCTGCTGCAATTTTAGCACAATCAATACACTTTCAGTATCCCTGAGAAATGCTAAGTCTTGTATTTTGAAACATGAAAGATGTTATCAAGGTTATCAAATTCTATAAACAAAACACTTGAATACTTTAATACATCCTTTACCTGTTAATGTCATATCCTGTTACAAAAATGCCATTTTCATTGTTCAAGAGATTTCATGTCTCAGAACCAAAGCTGTTTTCTAAAATGATTTAAATGATTTATCTAGACATTTCAAAAGTCAATTCTCTGAAAACAGAGCAGACAGAGTGGGCTGTTTCAGTCACTTCTGTCAATCTATATAGTATGCCTTCTAATCAAACTGTCTTTTCTAAATAGAGGCAAACAAAAAACACCTCAGTAAAAGCAAAATATTTCTAGATGTCTGTTCAGTCCATATAGGAAAGATTTTCAAATCTACACCTTCCTCTTAATTTCAGTCTTCATTTCCTTTTCCCTAAACTATTAATACATCTCCACTGTTATTTCTGCTGCCATTCTTGCCCCTTCCTAATTTATACCAAGGTCAGAGTGAAATTTTCAAAATGAAAGTTAACCACACCCCTCATTAAAATCATCTAGTAATTCCCTCAGGCTCCCAGGGTAAAGTTATTACATCAGTCTTTCATCAGACATTTTCTTAAAATTTTCCTTTTAAGCGGCATTACTGAAACAATAGGCACTGAATGAGTGACTGCCGATACAGCTTCTGCCAATTCCACAAAACACAATGACAGCACATCAGGTAGAAATTTTCCATAGCTCCAGTTTTCTGGAACACATGTGTTCGATGATATGCATTCTCCCATCCTCCCCTTCCCACCTCCAACTTACTTTCAAGATTGAATCTAGCAAGAATGATTCTTAAGACAGGGAGAGGCCAATGATCTGAGTAAAATTATTTCAAGGAAGATTTTTGAGTTTTCCAAAGATTTTCTTTTCAACTTTTAAAACAATTAGCATTTACAAAAAAAGCATGCATCTCTCCATGCTAAGGATATGAAGTAATAAAGCTATTTCAAAGCTCTTTAAAGTGGCAAACCCATCTGCTAACCTTTTGCTGACAGAATGCAAACTTCATTTTAGGAACTGTTGGCTCCATTTCTTCTGAAATTTTTCTCTGAGCTAATGTAGTTACTACTTACATCCACTGGACTGTGATTGGTAACTGCATCCCTAGCACTTGCAACACAACAGATGCTTAGTTTAGCAAGTATTTATTGAATATGTAATAAATTCAAGAAATTACAACTATGTAATTTCATTAATTGATAAAAATGAAAGTATATGTCTATATTTCATAAAGCTTTTCAAATCCCTCCTTTGAGCAAAACTAAATATAAATCAAAACTAAACTAAGTAACAATTATCAAGTCTTCCAAGAAAGCAATACACTGTCACAGTAAGATTTTTAGCATTACCTCTACAACCAGAAAGCTGTATCTATCCAGGTTAAATCGACTTTGGCTTCCAACTATGTTTTAATTTTTTTTCTTTTTATAGAAAACACAACAATATACCTGACACATAAATCACCAAGAATGAAAGAGAAGGAAGATCTATCACAGTTTGCATCTGCAAAGCCTAAACGAGTTGTCTAAGTTAGGGCTATTTCATGGGAACCATCATAGAAGTTGGCATAACTTATAGCTTATTTCTCATTATTGTTGAAAGGTTAGGGGTGAGTTAAGATGTCCTTTCATTATTAAAACTATATTAGCACACTGAATTAACCAATACAGTTTCCACTGTTTTTAGACAAGTATAACAGATTACTAACTCTTAGATAAATCTCATTTTAAAAATAAGTGTCACTGAGTAAATTTTGCCCTTTGACATATATTTGGTTACAAAAATAATGCATTTTACCAACTATTAATCCTCCATTAAATGCTAATAAATCAGGTGATTACTCTAGACTTCACCACTACACAATATATCCATGTAAGAAAACTACACTTGTACCCTCCTAAATTATAAAAATAAAGAAAAATGCCCATAAATATCAAATACATTCAAAGTACAAGAGACAAAAGAGAGTCTGGAGGTGCCTGGTCCAACTTTGTCATTTTATACATTAGGAAAGCAGGTTCCTCAGGCCATAAGCAACCAGTTGCTGGCATGGCCAGAAGCCTTCACCTAATCTCAGAGCACCTCTGTCTCCTTTGAGTCCCCCACCTCTCAAAATAGGACAGCACTCTTCAAGATTCACTTTACCTCACAGATTTTTAGTCTTCAAGATTCCCAAATTTTTTCATGGAAAATTTCTTCATGTCATTAGGGATTTGGCTCAAATATCACCTCCTCACAGAGGCTTTCCCTAACCTTTGGTAAAGGGTAACTGACACTTTACCAACAGTTGGGAATTTTATTTCTCAAGATATACTGTAACAGGCACTACCAAAAGATTGACCACAACATAGTTCCTTCTTTTTTTTTTTAGACAGAGCCTTGCTTTGTCACCCAGGCTGGAGTGCAGTGGTGTGATCTCAGCCCACTGCAACCTCCGCCTCCCATGTTCAAGTAATTCTCCTGCCTCAGCCTCCTGAGTAGCTGGGATTACAGGTGTGTGCCAACACCCCCAGCTAATTTTTGTATTTTTAGTAGAGATGGGGTTTCACCATGTTGTCCAGGCTGGTCTCAAATTCTCGACCTCAAGTGATCCACCCGCGTCGGCTTCCCAAAGTGCTGGGATTGTAGACGTGAGCCACTGCGCCCAGCCATAGTTCCTTCCTTCTAATCTATGTCTCTCTGATTTTTGGTGGAAAGGGCTGGGTCACTAACTGATTGTTAGAAATACTGACTGAATCTATACTTTCCCAACAAGGGTCTGGTAAAGCAGTAGGTATTCCCTAACCCTTTGTAAAGCAGCAGGGTATTCTAGCTATTACTCAGGTACCTCACAACATTTATCACTACCTGAAATTATCTGATTAATTTTCTGACTATGTCTTTCTCTCATCACAAGAATATAAGCTCTGTCAGGGCAGGAATCTCTTCTGTCTTGTCATCGCTTTCCCCCAACTGCTCAGAACAGCACAATGGTATGGCATGCAGTAAGTACTCACTAAGTTTTGGAGACTGAATGTAAGGTTTACCCCTCTCAAATATTTCTGACAGAGGCATGAGTTTAGAAAAGTCTGCCCTTGACCCTGATCCTTTTGGTCTTATATTTCTAATTGTTTTCATTAGTAAATATGTCCTATCAAGTAGAGGAGTCATACACGTTTCTCTTTTCATTTCCAGCTAAATGGAATATCCAACTCCTTCTGTTAAAAGGAGGGCAAGTGCACTACCCTGCAGCGTAGGTGAAACTGTGACCTCCTGGTTCAAAAGAAACAAGTAGCCCCAAACTAGCAGTCCAAAACTCAAATTTTGGATTGTCATCTGAAAAATGATGAGGCTCATAAATCTGGAAAGAGAAGCGTTATTTCTCATAAAGGGTTGCAGCCTGCCGGATGGCCATTCTGATAGGCTAGATAGCCTCTACCCAGAAGCCAGAAACAGACACTTTGAGGGAGGAGCGAAGGAAATAGGAATTTATGCTGAACAGGGTAGCCAAATACACATATTTAATAAGCTATAGGAGGAGTCATGAATATTTATGAAAGGAGAAGCATGCATACACGCAATTAAGGTTCGCGTCCCTTCATGAGTCAGGTGTAAAAAAAATGGCGGCATTAGCATGATCCAAAGGTGGAGCTTTCAGGCATCGGATATCAAAAGGTGAAGCAGAGAACATGAAAACCCTCACTGCGCATCC